TTTGGACTGGCGATTGAACCCAGGGCTTTTGCATTGAACTACATCCCCAGCCATTTTTCAGTTTTAAATTTTGAGACAGGATCTCACTTGTCACTAGGTTTCCCAGGCTGGACTCAAATTTGCAATCCTCCTGCCTCAGCCTTCCAGAGCCCTGGGATTACAGGTGTATACCACCACACCTAGCTTATTACAGTGGTGATCCCAGTGGAAGCAACTGTGTCTCCTGAATTGGTCACCAACTATTGCTGGTTAATGTCAGTGTTCTTCAGAGGGACTATGTTCTAAGTACTGGAACACAGGTGCTAGGATCAAAAGGAACATCCCTTCTGATCCCTGTAGTCCCCCAGTCTTCTCTTGCCCAGGCAGGTTCAAAAGACTAGAGGCTAGGACTCACCTTAAGAAGCAACCCCCAACTTATTATTATCAGCTCTTAATGTGACAAAATATTAGGTTTCAATGTGTGCAATATATTTCAGTCATATCCATCTCCCTGTTGCATGTCCTCTGATATCCACGTCTTGGCCATGGAAACCAGTTGTGTAGGAGGCCCCTGGAATATTGCCAAGAATGCAGGAGGTGCACACAGGTAATGCACATAGTAGCTACAATGAATGTTTGCCTCATAATGGTGCCATAGGGTGAGCAGATTTTGACTTGTTACTGAGATCAACTGCAGAAAGTTCACAAGCAAACCATTCAAAGATGTTTATTTGTGAATATTCATTTTATTTTTGGCAGTACTGGGGATTGAACCCAGACTTCATACATGCTAGGCAGAAAATCTGCCACTGAGCTACATTCAAAGATGTTTATTTGTGAACTTGGAGTTTATAAGTAAGACCTGCCTCAGAGATCTCCCAAAACACTAAACTTTTATAGCAGGAGCCCTACCTATCACCAGCACCCTCCCCAGGACACAGTCATCCCAGAAATGCCTGCCAAGTGCTTCCTATGTGTTGGGGCTGGTGGTCAGTCAGCAGTATAAGGACAGGAGCTCGGGAGGTCCCGGGCCAGGATGAAAACCCCAAAACCCCAGGATCAGTGGACACTGGGGAGGCTCTTAGAGTCAGATGCAGACTTCTTTTCATCCATCTGCACAAAATCCTCCCTTTACATCTTCTGCAACCTCCCAGACACCTACAAGGCAGAGTTTATTTCATGCTTGACTGGAGCAGGCGCCCCATGGAAACAAATGTTTTTTTTTTTTTTTCCGGAACTGGGGATTGAACTCAGGCCCTTGCACTGGCCAGGGGAGCGCTTATTCTACTGAGCCATCTCCCCAGCCCTACTTCCGCTCCTTGATCTGGCTTTATTATCCTCTGTGATCTCCTTACCCTGGAGAGCCTGTCACTTTCGAGTTACCTCTTAGATTCTCCCAGCACCTGTATTATGACTTTTCCCACACCAATCTTCAGGGCAGCCTTCTCTGGCTTCTAGTTGAGGCCAATACTTTCTTGTATTTCCCTTCATTGTATTCAACAGTTTATAGCACAAAGTTGGGTAACCAGCCACTTCTACCCTGTCTAGGTGACATTTTGTCTACCAGAGCAAATGCTTAATTCAAGTTTGTTGACTTGGTTGAAATGGGTTTGTCTGTGGAGTGTGGCTTTCTGTCATCAATTTTGCTTTCTCCATCCTCTCCTCTTCTGTAACTCAGGTTAGGTTTGACAGGACGGCTTTTATGTGTTGTATTTTATGGGAGACTGCAGTCTTAGAGTCTTCATCTGTGGTTCAAGCCAGAATCACCTTGCCATGACCCAGGCAGCTCAGCAGTGGGTTCCGGGTCTCAGAATCCTCAGCTCTGATCTGCCTCAGCAAGTTGCCAAGTCTCTGGCTCTTGTACTCTTCTTCCTTAGTCCTCTAGTTGGTGAACACCCCTGCTTTCAGAAGATGGTTGGTGAAGAGGTGAAGAGTGGGATTCTTGGCTCTTTTTCAGGCTTTGAGTAATCTAGTAACTACTTGGTAACATAGAAAAGGCAGATAATGAAGGAATTGTTCTCAGAGATCACCAGGAAGATAGATGTCAGTGCACACACGGAGGCTGTGCACATCCAAGTATGTGTGCCTTACCTCATCTTCTGTAACTCCTGACCAAGAACTGAGAGGGCCTGAGATAGACTGGAGCAGGAGCATGGTGATACAGTATGGCAGGGGCTTCCCCAAGCCTGACCTCGGGCACACAAGCATGGGCCAACTTCAGCACACACATTATCAGCCAGGAAATACCTGAGTACCATGGAGAGTCGTGGTGCCTTTTAGGGTGGCCAGGTACAAATATCTCTGACTGTGAGACTAACTTAACCTCAGGGACTGTGCTGCCTCTCTTCCCTAGGTCCCCCTTCTGATTGTCCGCTCGTTCCAGGTGCCAAGGATTCAGAGAGGCCCTCCCTGGCCACTTGTGTCTAGATGGTCCCCCAAAGCCTCATGCAGTCATAGGTGAGTTTTTTCAGAGGTGGCTGGATCTGAGTGTGCGAATGATTCATGATGTAATGCTAGGATTAAGGGCGAGTGATTACTAAATCAGTCTGATTGATTTGGCACCGTCCTAATCCCTGTATCCCGGATACAATATAAAGGACAAAAAGGGGCTTGGCTTCTCTGACCTTTGCTTTTGTTGTCCTTGTGTGCGACGAACTGCTCTCCTTTGCGATGCCCTCTTCCACGTTAGCTCCGCCTTGGGGCCAGCCACTGATGGACTGAGGCCTCCACACGCTGTAAACTTTCACCCATGCCTGCACAACCACAAGTAATTACGCAACTACGTAACAGTAAGCCATACACGGACTAGACAAGAGGCTGGACCGAGGGGACCCTAAGGAGAGGAGGTGGTGGGGACTCTCCCGCGTCGGTTCTGGCCACGCAGCTCCATTTGTGGATTTCGGGGAAACCGAGCGAGCGGCTCAAATTCCAAAGAGTAAGAAGATGCCTCTTGAACAGCACGGGCAGGAAGCTCAGCAACTGCGCAGTTGCGTGGCGTGGACGAGCGAAGTGGTAAAGGGATGGAGACCCTAGCGGGGACCGTGTGGGGCCGGAAGATGGGCCAGGCTTTGGGAGACGCAGGGGCTGTTTACGCAAGGGCCCGGCCCAGCCCGCGCCAAAGTCCGCAGGAACTTGAGAACACAGGACGGCCATCTCGAGGGAACGGTTTCCGCCCGGAGCGCTGAGCCGAGGACCGGAAGTCAGGGCGGAAGTGCAGCCTGTTCGGTGCCCGCTACGCGCCCCCTCCCGCGAAGTTTGAATCCGCTGGCGGTGGAGGGCACACGGGCTGCCAGGGTCGGTTGTGTTCCACAAAACCTGGGTTCTGCAGAAGCCTAGATTGTGGAGGAGCTCCCCGCGGAGACAAGGGGGTTGTGAGTCGCGGAAGTCCTACCGCTGGTGCATTGTTGGAGCGGTTCCTGGGCGGAGCCACGGCTCGGGCTCGCCGCGGGCCTCGCTGCGGGCCTCGCTGCGGGTGATGCGCTGCTCGCGGGGCGCCGGTCTTTGGGCTTTCGTTCGGCAGTCGCAGCTTCCACACTTGACAGAGGCCTAGAAAGATTGATTGCTCCGGGCTGCACGGTTTTGCATTGTTTGAATGACTTTGCTTAAAGCGCATAGAACGTGTCCTTGTTTGGCTCCTGTTTCGGGGAGCCAAATCCGAGTAGGACCGAGTTTTGTCTCATTTTCTCCCCGGGGGGGGAGGGGGCGTTCTAAAAAACTGGCGAAGTGTCTTTGTGCTTTGCAGGGATTTCGCGGAGAGCAGTGCTGTGTCTCAGTGCTGCGCGCCGAGTTGCGTCGCTGAGCTCCTGAGATGGTCAGAGAGAACGCCAGAAGGGGTTTGTTGCACCGACACGAACAGCCTGCACTTGACCCAATCGCTGTGGCCTCCTGAGAACAGGCCGATATGCCCAAGATAGTCTTGAATGGTGTGACGGTGGATTTCCCTTTCCAGCCTTACCAGTGCCAGCGGGAGTACATGAGCAAGGTTCTGGAATGTTTGCAGAAGGTAAACCTGCAGGACCTGAGGAATTTGTCCCAGCGATGGGTTGGCTGAAGCAAAGTACATACACACCAACTCTACACCCAGTCCAGCCAGGCTCTGAATGCTGTCATAAATTGATCTTATAGGTGGGAGAGATGACATCAAATGGTTAAAAAAAAAACCATTCTAAATGGTGAGGGGTTGGCAGTGACTAGAGGGCTGGCTGTTCTGAGAAGGTGGCATTTGAGCCAAGGTTGATGGTTGTGGAGTGGCCATCATTTGGGGATCTGGAGGAAGTGTTTCAGTATTGAGAAGCATCATAGAAAGTCATCTTTCACTTTGGGAGTGTCTCTGAACTTTAGGGGTGTGCAGATAAATGGAAGGGGTCAGGTGGCTTCCTACTGAGTTTCTTGGGGTGCCTCTTATACCCTGTTCATTTCCCCACCAAGTTTCGAGCTCATATATAGGACATCAGATACTGTTTAGATAGGACAAGGTAAATGCCTGGGTTCAGAATTGCAGAACAGTTTCCTATTTTGAGACTTGACACTTAATTAGTCATCTTACTATTTATATTATGCTGAAAAGTAGTCCCATTTTGGGTAATGCTTTGTAAATGGTTTGCTAATGAGGGCTGAATTAACCTGTAGCTTTTAGGACTACAGCGGAAAATATCACATGAATTAATCCACCTCCCGTGGGGTTTTTGAGGCAATCTGTTCCACTGGTTGCTGGGCTTGTCTCAGGGTTAGTGGTGTGGTCTCATGCCTCCCTGCCTCCCTCATTCAGAAAGTGAACGGCCTCTTGGAGAGCCCTACAGGCACAGGGAAGACACTCTGCCTCCTCTGCACCACGCTAGCCTGGCGGGAACATCTCCGGGACTCTGTCTCTGCCCGCAAGATTGCTGAGAGAGCACAAGGAGGGCTTTTTCCTGATCTGGGCTTGCCATCCTGGGGGAGTACCGCTGTTCCTGATGGAGACCCCATAGGTGACCCTACTTTTCTCAGTCTCTCTTGTCTTTGTGTGGGGATGAAAAGGGGTGGATGGAGTGGGGGACCTTCATCTTGGCTTTTGCCACCTCTGGAGCAGAGTAGAATAAGGAGAATATTGCAGCATTTATATCACTTCTCACTATTGTGGGTATAAATACGAGGTCAGAGCTTTTCCCTGGAACTAGGGCACCGTGGCAGCCACTTCACCCATTTCTGGGAAGTGACTGTCTGGGTGTCAGTTTTGTGCTGTTTAGGGGCTGAGTTAGCACAATCCTGCCTGTTAAACACACACGAGGACGTTGCCTTAGAGCCACCCTTTCTGTGCCTCCTTGTACCTCAGCAGCTTGCTACACAGATGTCCCGAAGATCATCTATGCTTCCAGGACCCACTCGCAGCTCACACAGGTGATCAGCGAGCTTCGGAACACTGCCTACCGGTGGGTCGGCAGGCTCCTGCCTGCTTCAGTTATTTTATTTTATTTTTTAAAATTTATTTATTATGTGTGTGTGTGTGTGTGTGTGTGTGTGGCCAGCTCAGCCCACCAGGGGGCGGGGCTGGCTGGCATGTGGTGCTGGGGGATTGAACCGCTGTCCCTGTGCTTTGCCAAGCTTGTTCTAAGAAGGTGCTTTAGACCACTGAGCCATCTCACCAGCCCCCTGCTTCAGTTATTGAAAAATGTGCTTTGCATCTAGTGGGGTCCTCAGCCCAGCTGCCCGCGTGCAGTTTAGTTGCATGGTGATAAATGATCCACCGCAAGATGTGTAGTGTCCGGTGTGGAGTGAGAGTGAAGGCTGGGCAGGTTCTGGTGGTCATTACTTGTAAGAAAGCAACTTTGAGCTTATGGCTGTCTGTGAGCTGGCACTCCAGCTCTTTACAGGGCTGTGGGCAATCAGGACTGTTGGGGAGGCTTTACTCCTGAAGAGAGGAGGGTCTGTCCTTTGCTAGAATTCAGCTTAATCTTGGTATCTTGCCCTGGCTTCGTGTGAAGGAGCTTGCACAGTGTGTTGCTCTCCCACTGGCAGTTTTTCCTGCCTTGCCTCCTGCTCCTGTCCCAACTCTGGGCCACAGTCCAGCCACTTTGTTCCCTCTGCCTGTCAAGTTTCTGCTTGTCAAGCCATGTATTTCCACATGGCTTGTGCTATTGGACCAGACCATGGTCCCATCTGTTTTACTTGGAGGCAGTTCCTCCTTGATCCTTAGCACTCTCTTCTGCCAGGCCCAGGGTGTGTGTGCTGGGCTCTCGGGAACAGCTGTGCATTCACCCAGAGGTGAAGAAGCAGGAGAGTAACCACATGCAGGTGGGTGCCTCGGGATCCGCCCCATCACTACGGTTCTGCTGGACGGGTGCTACCTGGGCTTTTGCGGCTCCAGCTGTGCCCCAGTCTGTGCTGACCTCTGTGCCCGAAAGTGGATGGGGAGGGGTGTGGAGGAGGACCTAGTGAAGGCTGGGGCGTAGGTGCATCCTTCCTTGGCCACTGCTTCAGCTCTGTACTCTGCCCTCCTCTTGCAGATCCACTTGTGTCGAAAGAAGGTGGCAAGTCGTTCCTGTCATTTTTACAACAATGTTGAAGGTAAGAGCAGCCCCTAGGAGCTCCTCCTGGAGAGAGATGCACAACAGGATCAAATGAGCCATGTGGAGGCTCCTGGTGCCAGTTTAGTGGCATCGCAGCCTGCTTGCTTTACCTTTTTTTTTTTTGTGGAACTGGGGATTGAACTCAGGCCCTCACACTTGCCAGGGAAACGCTTATTTTACTGAGCCATCTCCCTGGCCCTCTTTACCATGTTTGGACAGCCAGGATTGTGGTGTACCTGGCCACTGTCCTCTGACCTGAGGGGGTCACCTGAATTGCACCAGCTCACACAGCAAGTGGCCTATTGGCTGTCTGGTTCTTGTCTGATATCTGAGAACTTGCATTTGGGGAGGGTTGTCATCGTCTTGGGGCCAGAGACATAGCTCAGCAGCTTAGGCGCTTGCCTGGCGAGCACAAGGTCTGAAGTTCAATCCCCAATACCAAAAAAAAGAAGGCTCTCTTACACCTAACCTGTGTGTCCAAAAAAAATCACCTGCTTTCTTTCCCACCTGGGATGCTAGGACCTGGACCTTAGTACTCTGGATTGCCTCTGTCACGCTTCCTTAAGTGCCAGGTGCCAAGTCTGAGTTTTCTAGTTAACAACATTTTGTGTGTGTTATCATGGGTCATAAATGACAACTGAAGCACATCTACATCCCCCTAACTTTACCCCATGCATCTTGTCCCTTTGCTGACTTTGCTGTGATAAGTCACACCCCTCTGTGTTACTTATCATACAGTATGGCTCTGCTGTCTTTGAGTCCCTCCTAGACTGGGTATGACCTCAGAGGTGACCTCATCCAGAGATAGAGTGAGCTCATGGATAATGACAGCAGGTAGCCCTAGTGACTACATGTGCCCATAGCCTATGAAGACCCAGAGCAGAAGGTTGACACCAGTGCCCTTTTTCCAGAGCAGTGCCTTCTCACCCGTGTGAGACTACCCCCCATTTCCATCAAGGGCTTCTAGGGCTTGTCACAGGCCTTCAAAGACACTGATAGGGTAAGCTGAGCCTGTTGTGCAGCCTCCCATCTCCTGCAACCTCAGGGGTTGGACATGTACATGTTGGGTGTATGGCTGGGGGTTTCCTCTGTTTTCTTTTCTGCCCCAAGATTTGGACTGAGGTTCTATTGTGGTGTGCTAGGGCTCAGGTGATTCAGCCCAGGTCATATGTGAGGTGTTGGTGGTCTGTTGTCAGCTCTGATGTTCACTGGATGCCTGGTACACAAGAGCGGAGGCCCCTGGAGCTGCCAGTAGTGTTCAGGCCACAGGCAGCACTGGGGGTCCTTAACCCCCTGCCAGGTGTGCCAGTTTTCTGCCCCTTGGAGAGACAGGATGGAGCATGGACTTTAGCCCCCCTGGTGGTATGTTCTTCATTGCCGTCCTTGTTGTGTTTTGGTCTGATGACATCAAGGACCCTCAGTCACCTCAATATATGATCGTCCAGGCCTGCTGGGTGTTCCTAAGAAGCTGGACATCTGTACTGTGCCCCCAGGGGCCCAGAAGCCATCCCCTTTGGCTTCAGTGACTTGGACCTGGCCAGTCTGGTCTGGCTTGCCAGACATGCTGTTGGGAAACTCCTACAGTTGTCATTTCTTGTCTTTTTTGGCTTCCCTGGAAGGAAGGAAGGCCTCCTGGGTGTCTTTAGGCCTCCAAAAGTAGCGGGTATCTGGGCTGTAGGGGGTGCACAGGGGATACTGAGCATGACCCTGTGGCCTAAATGGGGGCTGCTGTGTGGCCACTGTCCTGGCCTCTGGCGGGAGACTAGCGTCCGTGTGGCTCCGTCCATTGTGTCTCGCCCCTGGGTGTCTCGAGACGTGCAGGGTCTTTCCCCTCACCTTGTCCATCCCTCTGTTTGCACCTTTCCCATCTGGCGCCCTCTCCTGCCTGGCCCCTGACACTACACCTGTACTTGTTTGATACAGTTGTCCCCTTTGCTCACCCTGGCTGCCTCTGTTGTCTCGGCTCTGGCAAAGGAAGTGGCTCAGGTGCTTGCGTTGTGCCAGAGGCCCTGGTGTGGCCCTCATGGCAGTGGCCCCAGCCAGCTTCTGCCTGTGAACCTGGGACTGTGCCCTTGTTTGTCCACACTGTCCTTCACTTGAGAGTCTCTAGGGCTGGGGGGACTTTGGCCTCACAGCAGTAGAGCCTCCTTATAGTGGGGGTGCGTGTGCCTGCTCCTCGGCGGTCACCCCATCTCGTGGTCCTGGGTTTCTCACGGCAGAGAAGATAAGCTGTCCAGGTGGTCTGATAGATTCGGGCTCTGTCTGACCTCAGACCTAAGAGCTGCAACTCTGCCATGGCCTCAGCTCCTCACTGTTCCGTCTGGAGGGAGGTGGCCTCGCTGTGAGCTGTACCGTCTTTGCTGTGCCTGCTGTGGTGGGCTGTGAGGCTATGTCTCCAGCAGTTGCCAAGTCCTGGCTGTGTTTGGAATGGGCTGCAGCCCAAGGAAGGATCTGAGAGGAAAGGGTGGCCTGTCTTGCAGACGCAAGAGGAGACGGGTGGAGAGCCGGGATGCTGTCTGGCTGCTCCCTGTGAAGATTCGAAGGGGGAACAGAAGCACTAGGCTGTGCCTCCACCCAGGAGTTACCTGGGGTGGGGGCCTGGGGCAGCCCTGCACACCCCTCTCTTTATGTGTCGCCTTTCTTCCTAACCTCTTCTCTGTGTTGCCCCCCTTGCTCAGCTCTCTGCCCAGGAATTATGGTGAGCTGCTGCAGTCTGTGCTGATTGGCTGATCTGTTGCTATGGTGCTGCTAAGGGAGTGCTCCTACTTCCCTCCCTGTTCTATGTCACTGTTAGGAAGGGGGTATGTGTGCGTGTGTGTGTTGGTCTCTGCAGTTAAGGACTGGGCCTCAGTTCTGTCCCAAGGGAGCCTGGCCCTTCCTGGAACAGGCTTCAAATTGCCGCAGTGGTGCAGAAGCTGGAGGGCAGGGTGGTTTCTGTATTTGGCTGCCCTAAGACAGTGCTGGCACTGCCCCACGAGAGTATGAGGTCCAGGAGTTGCTGCATTTGCACCCCGAAGAATTCTGTGACTAGTTTGGCCCCTGGCCCCTGCGCTATGGCAGCACATCCTCTAGGTTTCTTTCTGCCTTGGGTCCCCATGGTAGTGCCCATTTGCAAGCTGCTGTCCTGAAATGAAGGCTTCTACAGCTTAGTGATGTGCTGGAACAGGCAGGACAGGCTCAGCCTAGACTGGCCCTGCCCTTCCCTCTGACTGCCTGTGTCCCGCCTTGGCCCTTGCTTTGCCAGCATAGCTGGCAGGCACAGCTTTTCTCCAGGCGGGTCTGTCGATCAGTGGGAGCTGGAGGAGTTCTGCTAGTAGGAACACACTCTCCCTGCTTCTCAATGACAAGGTTTGGGCTCTCCCCCCTCTTGCTCCAGGAGGTGGGCGTAGGGCCTGGGGGTAGCCACTCGGGTCCTGACTTGTATGTAGGAGCAGAGGATGCTTGCAGTCTTACGATGGTGTTGGTGTCTGTCTATGGTATTGATGCTTTGCTTCAGACTGGTTCTGCCTCCCGCAGTGCAGAGCAAAACTTCCTCAGGGTCTTTTTGTGGGGGCAGTTCCCTAGGAAATGCAACCTACCAAGCAGGGGTTTTCTGGTACATGTATAGGTAGTAGTGTCACTCCACCTGCTACATAGGAGCGCTCTGTCCTGGGCATCTGAGGACACTGAGCTTGGACCCTAAGGGTGTGTTTACCTGTATCTCATCTGCAGAAAAAAGCATGGAACAGGAGCTGGTTACCCCTATACTGGACATTGAGGACCTGGTCAAGAGAGGAAGCAAGCACAAGTGAGTTCCCTCCCGCAGCCGTGGCTATCATGTCTTGTCACAGTGGACTCTAATGAGAAGAGAGCCATGGATATGTTCTTTGTACAAAACTAACAGTTGGTATGAAAATCGAATTAGTTTTGAGAAATATGAAGTGAAGAAATGACACCATTTCCTTTCAGTTTTCAGCCTAATTCTAAGTGAGCAGTGTCTGGGTATTGTTTGTTTGTTTTTTTTTTTTTTGCACGGGGGGAGGGAGTTGGTTTTTTGGTTTTTTTTAGCGGAACCGGGGATTGAACTCAGGCCATTGCACTTGCCAGGGAAGCGATTATTCCACTGAGCCGCCTCCCCAGCCCACGAGTTTTGTTTTGTTTTTTAAGTTTTTTGAGACAGGGTCTCCCTGTGTAGTTCAAACTGGCCTTCACCTTGCTGTGTAGCCCAGCTGGCCTCAAACTCGCAGTGACCCTTCTGTCTAAGTCCCCAAGTGCTGGGATTACAGTGTGCACCACCAAACCCAGCTGTCCATGTGTAGAAGTACACACATGGTCTTTCAACTTTTTTTTTTTTTTTTTTTTTTTTGGTGAAACTGGGGATTGAACTCAGGCCCTGGTGCTTGCCAGGGAAGCGCTTATTCCACTGAGCCATCTCCCTGGCCCCACTTTTTACTTTTTGTTTTGCTTTGTTTTTGCTTTTGGTTTTTTATGTATTTGGTACAGTATCTCACTACACAGCTTGGACTTGTAGTGATCCTCCTGTTTTCAACCTCCCCTGAGCTGGGATCACGGGCATGCGCCACCATGCCTGGTCTCGGTGGCCTGCTCAGCGCACCTGGGGACTGGGCCAGCACAGCATGTGGGACCAGGGATTGAACCCTGGTCCCTGCATTAGGCTAAGCAGGCACTTAGTCCACTGAGCTATCTTGCCCCTCTTTTTATTTTTATTTTTTTTAATTAATTAATTTTTTTTTGGTGGAACCGAGGATTGAACTCAGGCCTTTGCACTTGCAAGGGAAGCGCTTATTGTACTGAGCCATCTCCCCGACCCCTTTTATTTTTATTTTTATTTTTTATTTTTTGTATTTTGGCGAAGAGTCTATAGGATGTTCAGGGTCTCACTACTAGATTGGACTTGTAGTGATTCTCCTGGTTACAGCCTCCCAAGTACAAGTGGTGGGATTACAGGTGCATGCCACCACGCCCAGTCTCAATCGCAGTCTCACTGCGCTGGGGCGAGCCTGGCACTCCAGGCCCAGGGATTGAACCCCTGGCCCCTGTACCTGCTTGCAGGCACTTGGATCTGCTGAACTATTTGGCTGGCCCTTGCCCCTCTTTTCTGAAAAAAAAAAAAAAAAAATCAACAAAAAGCAGTGTTGCTGTGTGATCCAGGCTCATCTTAAAATCACTGTGACAGGCTGGCCTCAGTCTTAGGGCGGCCCTCCTGACTGAGACTCCCAAGTGTTGGGGTTATATGCATGCATCACTATACCTGGCTTCCCTTTCTTGTGGTACTAGGGATTGAACCAAGGGCTTTATCACTAAGCTGTGTTCCTTAGTCCTCTTTTAGTTTGAGATAGGGCCTTTTAAGTCACTGAGTTTCCCAGCTGGATTTGAACTTGCAATCTTCCTGCCTTGGCTTCCCAAAGTACTGGGATTACTGGTGTGACCTATTATACTCAGTTCCAATTTATTTATTTATTTATTTATTTATTTTTGAGGCAGGGTCCCACTGTGTAGTTCAGGCTGGCCTTGAACTCCCTGTGTAGTCCAGGTTGGCCCCAAACTCGTGGCAGTCCTCTTGCCTCACCCTCCTGAGTGCTGAGATTACAGGCGTGCATCGCCATACCCAGCTCTGAGTTCTTCCTTCAGTGCGTACCATGGGTGTCTTTCGAGGTGGTCGCTTGGAGCCTGGTCCCCTTCCTTCTGAGGACAGTATATCTGCCTGTCTATTCACAGCTTTCTGGACTCGAGTTATAGTACAGACTTTCAGGGCGGGTGTGTAGCTCAGTGGTAGAGCATCTGCCCAGTGTGCACAAGGGTGTAGAGTCCATCCTCAGCACTGTAAAGAGAGGAGAGGAGGGAGGGAGGAAGAGAAAAAAGGAAAGCAGTTAGTCATGGTGGCTTACAGGAAAACTTTTTTTTTTTTGTGGAACCAGGGATTGAACTCAGGCCCCTGCACTTGCCAGGCAAGCGCTTATTCCACTGAGCCATCCTCTCCGACCCCCACACTTCATTTCTTAAAGTGCTTCTATGCTCTCAGTGTTTCTGATGACCACTCGCTGGGAGTAGGGTTAGGGCTTTGTTCTAGTTTTGTACAGTTTTAAAGTCAGTTATGCACTCACATAGTCGAAAACTCGTACGAGTTCTCCGCTCAGATGCCAGCTCCCTTCAGAGGCCCTGTGCACAGAGGAGCTTCTCGGCAGTGAGAGGGTGTCGTGGCTTGTGTCCTGGCTATGCCTCCTGTGTCTCTCTGGGTGGGCATTTACAGGGTCTTCTGTTTCTTTGCTCCTAGAGTGTGCCCCTACTACCTTTCTCGGAACCTGAAGCAGCAAGCTGACCTCATCTTTATGCCATACAATTACTTGCTGGATGCCAAGGTAAGGACTCAGCCTGTGTGTCTGATGACTCCTGAGATCGAGGGGGTGTCTAGACTTTGCTGGTTCAGGCCCTCAGGGCAGCGGGCGTGGGGGAAGACTGCGGTTTCTCTGGGCAGAAACAGTGGTGACAGCAGCCTGGGAGTGGGCAGGCTGGCAGGAGTGAGATGGACCCAGGCTGGGGCCTCAGGCCAGTGCCAGCCCTTGGTTCTGACAGCTCAGCCCAGCCTTTCTATCAGATTGGATGATTGGAGGTGAAACCTGAGTATTTTCCTTTGTGTTCCTGAGTGTTTCCTCATTTGTGTCTCTGTAGCATGTGTTCGTCTTCTCATAACCTGCACCTTTCATTTAACGTAGGTAGGTTCTTGTGCCATGAGTTTGGTGACTTGTCCTTTCACTTATAAGCACTCTGTGGGTGTCCTCTGGTCTGGATTCCTTTGTTGATGTGCTCATTCCCGTGGTAGATGCAGACATGAAAAAAACTAGCATGGCTGCTACAGAGCTTGGATTCTAGTGGAAGAAATAGCAGAGAACCCTGCACAAGCTGATACTATGTATTGCAGGGTTCAGTAAGAGCAAACAGGGAGGTGGCCCCCATGGATATGGCAGAGTAAATGAGAATGCTGGGGGGGCAGGGGGAGCTGGCTGGGAGGTGACTGCGGGTCCTGGGGGAGGGGGCTGCTCCCCTGGAGAGCAGCCTGAGGACATGGAGGCGGGTGAGATCTGCTGCAGTTGTGGGCGACTTTCATTACTTGGCGCTTTCAATTTCAGCTGCCCAGGGGGCATCCAGAGAGCTGCTAAATACATGGGACCTGGGCCCCACCTGGAATAGTCACATCATAGCCAATCAGCTGATTTTAATGTTCACATGGGAATGGAAAAGCGCTGAAAGAGCAAAACAGTTTTGCAGGGCAGGCCTGGAGTGTGCCTTAAAGAGCCAGTATGCCTTTGGAGGCACAGATAGGGGTAACGGTGAAGCCCGTCCAAGAGACCCTTCTTCAGGCAGTACCTGGTTTTTGACATACACACCACGCAAATTCAGCATGAATCGTAGCCCTTTGTACTGTGCAAACCTAACTGCAAAACTTCTGGAAGAAACGGAGGAGGCAGTCTTTGCAGCTTTGGAATAAGTTGTGGTTTCTTAATTCAGACACTCAAGGTTCTTAATGAAAACACTTAAAAATTGGGCCAGGTGTGTTGCATGTTATGAGTCTGTGCTGAAAGGAGCAACTAGAAGACCCAGTGAATGTAGCTTTAGAGGTCTCACTGAGACTAGTTTCTCTCCAAGTGAGCCCAGAGCCTCAGAAGCATCTCACATTTATTGAGGGGTGAAGGCAGACTAAGGAATGTGCATGATTACCTAAGTGAATACAGACTACTATCTCTGTTGACTTCCACCATTTGCCTAACACTAGGTCCACACAAATGCTAGCCAGTAACATCCCAAGCAAGGGATCAAAGGACAGGGCGCCAGCAAGAAAAACTGTTATCTGCAGCCTTAAATCCCAACTTGCCTGGATTTATAAGTGAGAGACAGCAGCTCTTCCTGCACTCTGTCTGTTGTTCCCTGCTCCCCCATTTCATCAGGTTTTGGTTTCCTATCTGTATTTCTCTACAGGTGTGTTATCATGTACTTGTTGTCCCAGCTATTCAGGAAGCTGAGACAGAATGATCAGGTTTGTCTTTTTGAGACGATGTCTTACTATGCAATTCAGGCTGGCCTCAAGCTCACTTTGTACCCCAAGCTGGTCTCGAACTTGCAGTGATCCTCCTGCCTCAGCTTCCCGAGTGCTGAATGACAGGCGTGAGAAGGTGTGTGTCACCACACTTGGCAAGGATCACAAGTTTGGGGCTGACCTGGGCAATTCAGCAAGATCTTGTCTTGGATATAAAAGGCTGAGGATATATCTCAGCATAGAGTACTTAGCGAGCATGTCAGGCCCTAGTTTCAATCCCCAGTAACACCCCCCCTTAAAGTGTTGAGCTCTACAGGAAGCCAAATTGAAGCTCATGGGTGCGTAGCTGGTACAACAGCTCTGTGCATACAGTGTGCCACTGCAAGAAATGAAGACCTGTGCCCAGAGACTTTTCAGACTTGTCAGAAGCAGGAAGCAGGTCATGGTGGGCCCACACACTGGAACTATCAGTAGCGAGGAGTGAGAGCTGCGAGGAGCAGAAGAATCTTCCACATGCTATCCCAGGGAGCAGCTGATAAATGTGGCTTTTTTTTTTTTTTTTTTTTTTTTTTTTAGACAGGGTCTCCCTATGCAGTTTGGGCTGGCCTTGTGCTCACTTTTATAGCCCCCAGGCTGGTCTTGAACTTGCGGAAATCCTCCTGGCTCAACCTCCCAAGTGCTGGGATTACAGGTGTGCACCAGTACACCTAGTTCTGGGACTGCACAGTGGGTGCCTGCATCTAGGGACTGAGACTGCACAGCATGTGGGGCTGGGGATTGAACTCAGGTCCTTGTGCATGCCAGGTAGATGCTTATGCCTCTGAGTTATCTCTCCCGCCCCTAATGTGGCATTCACTCTGTTAACCATCCAGCTGTACATGTATGAGGGCAGTTTGTAGGAAAACTAAGCTCCAGATTAAGTTAATTAAAAATACTTCTGGGCATGGTGGTACACACCTATAATCTCATCACTTGGGAGTCAGAGGCAAGATAGTTGCAGGTTTAAGGCCAGCCTGGGCTTTACAAAGTGAGCTCAAGGCCAGCCTGAACTGCACATCAAGACTTTATCTCAAAAAGACAAAAATAAAAATAAACACCTCATGCTGGGCCTCCTCCCCCCCATTGTTTACATAAGGCTGTGGGAGAAGGACCTGGACTTTGGAATTTATTTTATTTGTTTATTTATTTGTGTGTGTGTGTGTGTGTGGCCAGCTCAGCCCACCAGGGGACAGGGCCGGCTGGCATGTGGTGCTGGGGGATTGAACCGCGGTCCCTGTGCCTTGCTAAGCTTAGCTTGTTCTAAGTAGGTGCTTTAGACCACTGAGCCATCCCACCAGCCCCTGGACTTTGGAATTTAAATGTCCCTGTGTGTATTCCAGGTGGGTAGGTAGGGGAATGGACTTCCAGGACTGCCCCGCTGCTGTGGCCAGGACCTAGCTGCTGCTTCCTTGGCCATTCTTCGTGTCACAGCACCTGCTCTCTGTGCTGTATGTGAGCACACTGCTTAGCAAGTGTGCAGCTGCCAGTGAGCCTTGGGTAGGCCTCGCAGAGTTGCTGCCCTGAGCAGTTGCCACTTCTGAGGGTCAGCTATGAGGTCTGCTTCTTCTGTGCCAAAAGTTTGTGTGGTTTGTGCCCATGGTGTTCGTTGCCCGTCACAGGCTTCAGCTTCCTGCTTACCCTGCCCTGCCTGGCTTCAGCTTGTTCTCTCTTCACCTCTTCTTTATAGAGCCGCAAAGCACACAACATTGACCTGAAGGGGACTGTCGTGATTTTTGATGAAGCTCACAACGTGGTGAGTCCAGTTGCATCTGTACTAAGGGCCTGCTGTTTTTCCTGAATTTTCAAACCTTTTTAGAGGAACTCTACACCCTAGGGGGCCAGCTGTTAGGGTCCGGCAGCCCCAGCCACTCCTCAGCCTTGTGTCCTGCAGTCACTCGCCTCTGCCAGGGCTGCAGGCTGGCTAGCAGGGCCTTGGGTGTACCTTCAGGCTCGAGTGCAAATGTAGGCACCTGTCAGATCCCTGTCCTGGCTGGCTAGTGGTGAGATCCTGGCCCTGTAGTTGTGTGCTCTGTACGCTGTTACCCTTCCTGCATTGTCTGATGTTAGGCCTTTAGGTCTGGTACTTGGAGGGCTGCTGTGGAGAGAGCTACCCACCACTGGTGGCTACAGCAGCAGATGTGGGCCCTGCACACCTTCCTGGTTCCCTTTGTCCTTTGTTCCCAGCACATTTCCACATTGACCTTATCCCTGCCTCTGAGCTGCTGCGTTTCCAGGAATAGCCTTATAGAAAGGCCACATAGGATAGCAGGGCCCAGCTTTTCTGGAGCCTGGGATAAGGCTTCCTGCGTTGGGACTCCCCATGACAGGGCCTGGTGCCCTGGGACTGCAGTGGCCACTGTCAGCCTTCACGTTCAGTGAGAGGTACAGTGCTCCAGACCTTCTGGCTTTAAAAAATTTTTTTAGGGGCTGGTGAGATGGCTCAGTGGTCTAAAGCACCTACTTGGAACAAGCTTGGCAAAGCACAGGGACCGCGGTTCAATCCCCCAGCACCACATGCCAGCCAGCCCCGCCCCCTAGTGGGCTGAGCTGGCCACACACACACTAAATAAATACATAAATAAATAAAGTTATATTAAAAAAAAAAAGTTCCCTGGGCCTCTTTTTAAAAAAATTTTTTTTAAACTTATTTATTTATTTGGTACAGGGTCTCACTATGCAGCTTATGGAATGCCTGGGTTTCCGGGGCTGGCACAGCATGCAGTACTGGGGATCAAACCTGGGTCCTTGCGCTTGCCAGGCAGGTGCTTAGAAGGCTGAGCTATCTCCACAGCCACCCTTCTGGTTTTTTGGGGTTTTTTTGGGGGAAGGGTTTATAGGGTGTTCAGGGTCTCACTACTAGATCAGACTCGTAGTGATCCACCTGTTTACAGCCTCCCAAGAGCTGAGATTACAGGTGTGTGCCACCATGCCCAGTCTCAACTACTGTCTTAGCGTACCCTGGGGGTGGGGCCAGGGCCAGATCAAACCCCCAGCCCCTTTCAGGTGCTTTAATCCACCCTTTTGGCTTTTTAAATAGATATTTTAATGGGAAATTTCCCAGTTAAAGGGCATTGGCGATACAAGTGAAATAATGGTTTAAAAACATTTGGGGGCGGGGGCTGGCCTGATAGCTCAGCAGACTAAAGCGCCTGCTTAAGCAGAGCACAATAGCCTGGATTCAATCCCCAGCATGCTGTGCTGGCCCCAACCCGGCCCCCCGCCCCCACAGCGTGCTGAGATAGCAATTGAAATTGGGCATAGTGGCACACATGTGTGATCCCAGCACTTGGGAGGCTGAAAACAGGAGAATCACTAAAAGTCGGATCTACATAGTGAGACCCTGTCCCACATATCAGAAAATAAAACAAAGCAAAAAAAATTTAGGTGGGCTGAAGTCAATTGGATCAGCATATGAGCTGGCTGTAGTGTCAGGGGTCATGGCTTTGTGGGCTTTTCTGTTAGCTTCCAGGACCTTCTGCATATGTACTTCCTGTATACCTGATCCTCTCCTGCTTTACCATGACAACGGTGTGTTTGGGCCATCAGGAGAAGATGTGTGAGGAGTCAGCTTCCTTTGACTTGACGCCCCGGGATGTGGCTTCAGGACTGGATGCCATCAACCAAGTTCTGGAGGAACAGACCAGAGTGGCCCAGCAGAGTGAACTTCAGCTGGAGTTCAGCATGGACCCCACCAGCTCAGGTGTGTTTCCAGCTGAGAACCAAAGGTTAAGTTGAGAGGTGGTCTGACCTTTCAGAGGACAGGGCCACCAGGTACTGTAGCCAGGCA